ACTGCTTAAGAGTCGCATACTAGGACAAAACGGCCGTCCTGTGTTTCCACGTTTTCAATGATGTTCTAGCTTAGATCGGCTCGTCATTTCATCTGTGAAAATACTACAATCGTCACAAATCCCCCATACTGATAGAAATTGACATAGGTTTTGATTACAATTTGAGAGCTAATATTTTCCAAGGAATATATAACACCATAGATATTGATAGATCCAGAATAATCAATAATAACAATAAAGTTTAATTAAAGAATCTTTACTGTTAGAAAATTTGTTGAGCTCCGTCGAGTTATGTGATTTTGATAGAAATCATTTGTGTCAATGAATAAAGAAAGGAAGATATTTTAAAGATTTAAAGAAATTACTTAACTAGTACAAAAACCTATCGTGGTCAGAACCTAATAAATCAATAGAAACTTGAAGGGATCTTGGAAGTACCTCACTTCAAAATAATTCTAACGTGTTATGAAAATTGCTGAATATACAGTAATTAAACATAGAAAGACAGATTATAGTAAAATGGAAAACATGGTTTGTAAGATTTAATGCGTTTGTAGAAACTTAAAAAACTAAGTTGAGGGGGGTTTGTTCAACAGATTGAAATATTTAGATCTTATCAAATCTATAAATAACATTTAATACATCTTTAATCTGTTACATTCTATGATGCCTTGAACTTAATGGGTTACAACATCGTGTTAAAACTTGAGAAAGTCATCTTAAACTTAATCTCAGGTAAACACAAGCTAATTAAGGTGCGAGATACGTAGAGATTGGTAAATTTTGAAGATAAATTACTCGTATGAAATATTCGTCCAGTGATTTTTCAACTTAGTCATTCTATCAATTAAACCATACCGAACTGACTAATCTCTGTTGACTACCCATCTTACTAAAATTCTATGTGCTTAACATGTTTGTATGATGGATTTCAGTTTAAAATATCAAAGATAACTCAAAAGAATGGTAGAACTCATATATTTGATAGAATAAAAACAACGAATGTGGCAGAATAATAGGAATTCATGTTATAACAAATGGTTTCTTCATATCACGACAATGTATGAAATCATTAAATCAAAATTAACATTGATTGTCTGAGCACAGAACAATAGATAGTATGTACATAAATATTTATTACCATTCTCTTAAATTATACACAAAATTAGAATGGAATAAGACTTCATAACGTATATATTTCAACCATAAAGCTAAAATTTGAAATCGTACAAAGATAAAATAATACTGTCAAAACTGTCGTATTTTTGTGAAATTAGAGCAACAAAACAGCAGGAAAAAAAAATCGTACGACTCTAGATACTAAGTTTAAATCAATACCGTAACGTTATTTTTATTATAAATATAAACTGTATCTTAAGAGGGTCTGATTTATTGTATTGTTCTATGACATGAGTTTATTAATGTGTAAGCATCCATCCTAGTATTCATCTATGCACATCTACAAACACTAAACTAAGACTAATCTCATGATACTCTATCTATTATTTGTTCGGTAATAGTGAAGAATAGTTGCTTATGATATTTTATTGAGTTACTAGAGTTGATTAATTCTACAAACATCTGAGTACATTTTTAACCTTTTTTAAATACGTTCAATAAATACTATATTACAAGATCCCCAAAAAGACCTTTAGAAAGCTATTGGATTATGGTCTAAGGTTTCACAAATATATAAAATAGATTATATAAAAAGATAATTATAACAGGATACTGAGATGTCTTACAATTCAAAATTTAAATTTCAATGCCCGTCACTATCTCTAAGACGAATAAATTATCTAATTTGCATTTAGCAGTTCTGGGTTCATTTAAGACTACCTTAATAATATAAAGTCATTTTTAAATACTTTTCGTATAGATCCATAAACTATTTCACTACCTTTTCAAATAATTACGGTAGTAAATTAATTGTTCACTTTACTTTCATTTTTATGCTTATACCTTTTTGTTATTAAGATTAACTTTCTATACAACTTTTGTCATTTCAAAACAAAAATATTTGACCTCTCAATAATTTAGCTACAGATTTAAATTCATATAGTGAATAAAATAAGATAAGGAAGATTAAATTAATATCGATGGCTGGGTAAGTGATCGAAGTCACATTAATTTCTTCCTAACACACAAATGTCGCTTTGAAACAAATGATATATAATTCATGGTAGAAGACAGATCACTTTGAAAGAGTTTAATAAATACAATCAAGCAAGAATGTATAAAATAGTTGGGTAGATTTATTATTTTTCTTTGAATAGTACTAACAGAAATTCAAAGACTAACTCGTGCAATGATGAGCCCTGCATAACTGTGTGTATAAGAACACTTAAATCAGATTGTTGTTTATTCATTCACAGCTGTCAAAAGTAAACAAGTATATAATGAACCGCAAAACTAGACTGTAATGGCTATTTACTACGGAGTTTTACTTATACTTTGATAATTTCACTAACTCTCATCAGCAAATTTTAAACCCTATAAACAAAGGTTTTTTCACAACCGCTGTTAGATAGACAGATTGATAGATAGATAGATGATAGATAGATAGATAGATAGATAGATAGATAGATAGATAGATAGATAGATAGATAGATAGATAGATAGATAGATAGATAGATAGATAGATAGATAGATAGATAGATAGATAGATAGATAGATAGATAGATAGATAGATAGATAGATAGATAGATAGATAGATAGATAGATAGATAGATAGATAGATAGATAGATAGATAGATAGATAGATAGATAGATAGATAGATAGATAGATAGATAGATAGATAGATAGATAGATAGATAGATAGATAGATAGATAGATAGATAGATAGATAGATAGATAGATAGATAGATAGATAGATAGATAGATAGATAGATAGATAGATAGATAGATAGATAGATAGATAGATAGATAGATAGATAGATAGATAGATAGATAGATAGATAGATAGATAGATAGATAGATAGATAGATAGATAGATAGATAGATAGATAGATAGATAGATAGATAGATAGATAGATAGATAGATAGATAGATAGATAGATAGATAGAATGAGCGTTCTCAATTGGGCCTGATCATCAGATTGATCTTGATCAAGTAAAATAATTGAAATCTATATCTATACTAATATTAGTTTTTATAACTCCTGGTTGTTTGAAGCTAGAGATTAGCCTTGATAAGAGTTACTTCATTTTCTTTTGTTTCATCAAGGAATAAGTTGTATGGTATAGAGGAAAATTTCCTCTATATCTCACTCCAATAAACGATATCTAGGTAACTGAGTATTTAACGCTGGCTAAATCTCCTAGTAGACTTATGAATTTACTCGTGATTATTCAGAAGCCTGAACACCAGTTGTAGAGATATTTTATTGTTAAAGATTAATAAAATCCGCAAGCGTACAGCAAGCAAGCACAGAGTGAAACCAAAGAGTGTGTGTGTTAAAAATCCATATATATATATATATATATATATATATATATATATATATATATATATATATATATATATATATATATATATATATATATATATATATATATATGAGCGTTATTCAAGTGTGGATAAATTATTGATTGTCTGTGTATTACAACCAATCGGAGAATAGATTAAGGATGGATGCGCAGACACGCGCTCAATCATACTCATACAGAGATAAACATAGTGGAGTAAGCGTTTAAATTACAGTGAGTATACAAATAATACAATAGTTCAATGGACTTACTACAAAGGAATAAATCTTTTATATTATTAGTATACATGTTTAGCATATCAAAAATTAGAAAAGCACTATAATCGACGAATATTCACCAGATGTATCACTTGTCTCTTTCATTACAAACAATCGTAAACACCGGATGCTTACTTTACTTAATTATGCCTTTTACTCCTCATCGAGGAGCATAGGCTGTCCACCAGCATACTTCATCCAACCCGGTCCTGGGCAATCCTATCCAGTTCTTTCCATTTGTTATTCATCCTTTTCATATCTGATTCTATTTCTCGACCTAATGTATTCTTTGGTCTTCCTCTTTTCCATTTCTCTTCAGGATTCCAAATTAAGGCTTGTCTCGTGATGCAGTTTGGTGATTTCCTCAATGTATGTTCTATTCATTTCCAACATCATTTCCTAATTTCCTCTCCATCTGTAAGCTGGTCTGTCCTCTCCCACTGTAGTCTGTTTTTGATGGTATCCGGCCAATGAATGTTGAGTATCTTGCGTAGACAGCTATTGATAAATACTTGTACCTTCTTGATGATGGTTGTAGTAGTTCTCCACGTTTCAGCTCCATACAGCAGAACTGTCTTGATGTTCTTATTGAAGATTTTGACTTTGATATTGGTTGACAGTTATTTTAAGTACCATATATTCTTCAATTAACTCCGCATGGAGTCCCTCCGGGGGCTAATGCCGGTCCAAAGCCCGGATAAACGAGGAGGGTTGGGTATGGGGTTAACGACCCCATCCCGTAGAAAACGCTAACCAGAAAAAATTATTCAAACCAAATATTATAATACACTATATTCACATTGTTAACATTATTAGTCATCACATAATGACTAGAATTACACCATATCACAAGTTAATCTATAAGATCAAAATGAATTTTTCGAAATTTATTCATCTACTACATATCAATTGAAGATACATGAAATTGATATTGAAAAGGTTTACATGTATATTTCTTTGATATAGTACAGTATGAGACTAGTTCTATGATAATCTTTATCATCTTAATAAACTATCAAATTATACAATGTTTATTGTATTAGATGATTGAAACAAAGGAATATTTTTTTTGTGTTCAATCATACTACGTCATCTATGAATTATTTTGTTTTTTTTTTATCATCAATTCGATTGTCATTTAAATAATCGAATTAAAGTAGTATTTCTATAGGTTGAATAAATAAGAATTTATTTAGTTATTCACTGATTGGTCAATCAGACAAGTCAGTTCATATTGATTAATTAAAATTATTAAAATTACTGTAAAATTATTGTACATATAACAGTATTTAAACTGGACTAATGTCAATTCCCATAAATAGCATAAATGAATTCAACACGTTAATGTGTTCACTTTAATTAATTCACACAAAAATCTTGATCAAATCAGTGAATTGTGAATGACATTTAAGTATCATAATCATTATCACTTATTCAAGCTACAACGACAAATAAAATGAAATGGATTAGTAAAATTGCTTATGGAACGGGTCAAATGCTTAAAGATCTTGTTGCAGGAGTTATCTGTATATTCTACATTATATTCTATGAAGGTTGTATCAGTTTGAGCAGTTCACAAGTTGGGGCATTATTACTGTGTGGTCAGATTGCCAATGGATTAGCCACACCACTGATTGGTTATTTATCAGATCGTCCACGCAGTTCAACTGAAAAATGGACAACTGCTAACCAGTCGATAACGTATGAAAATGAAATTATAAAAAAGGATAAGAGGTTGTTTAGTCGAATGAAACGGCAGTTGAGACTTGGACAGAGAAAATCATGGCATTTAGGTGGATGTTTATTGATGCTTATTGCTTTTCCGTTGATGTTTGGACAACCGGAATATTTTGTTGGTCTTCCAATTGTGATGAAGTTATTGATCAATGGCATGTTTATAATTTGTGTTCAGGTATGTTTTATTGTATGAATGAATGTTTGTGATTGTGATGTGGAATTCGTAGAATCACTCGGGAAAAATATTAGATAATAATCTTGGTCGATTGAGTGAATATTTTAGTTCGATCTGTTTGATATGAATCTATGTAAATGTGTAGACTTTGGAATGAAAATTAGGAAAGTAAATTCAAGGGAATTAAATATCTTCCATCGATCATATTATCAATCATTAATGGTTTGACAGCGAAGTCAATAGAGAAATAGACTGTTTATACGCTTTTAAAAGTTTTATTATTACATTACATAAAACTAAATGATCTGCGATTTTTAAACTGTGTTTTTTTACCAAATTTACCCGATATAATGGATCGCTGAAAAAATATCAACAACTATTGAATCATTGAAATGAAACCAGTTCATGAACAATCTTTTATTTTATTTATCAGTCTGAATAATTTATTGTCTTTTTTCATCATTTATTATACTACGGAATAAGTCAGGTTAATTCTAACATTTGGCTATGATATGTTGGTAGTGAGATTGAAAATCAAAATAAATATCTTTTATTTTAGGCTTTAAACAATTAGCATTTCTATATTGTAGACTTTCATACTGGCTAGATAAGCTAAATACAATCAAATGATTCTTTTTTTTAAAGTTTGATGAGCAACATTCAATTGATGGATGTGTATCAATCATATACTCTTTTGGTTAGTGTTTTTTTAGCGAGTTAGTTTTCTACGGGAAGGGGTAGCTAGCCCCATGTCCAACCATCCTCCTTCATCCGAGCTTGGGATCGGCAGTAGCTCCAGAGGGGCTCCAGGAGGAGTTATCAATCATATATCTCAACTGTTTAAAATGTAGACGTGTGTCTTTGAATGTCTTCAAAACTGTCAGACAACGATACAAAGTCAAACAACATTATTTTTTATTGATTACTACAGAGGGATCTTTTTTCTTACTGGTTTTCTTATGATAAGCAGTTAAATTTTCTAACTAATGTGACACAGTCAATTTTTGTTACAGAGATTAATGAAATAATTTTCTCCTTTTAAATTTTAAACCTACAGTAAGTTTTTAAGTTATAATCTGCTATTTTAACTAATCATTGTTAATTCTTTGTATTTAAGTACCATGGAATCTAACAGCTTGAACAGATCTGTTTCATCAATGTGTACTTCGGTAGATAACGAACAAAACTATTTGTTGGTACTATTTTTTTATTAAATAACTTCCGATTAATCAACTTCATTTTGCCGCCATTAAACAAGATTAAGATATTTTATTGCATAGAATTATTTCTCTCAGTGATAAGATAGAAATAAAAAATCCGTAATTAGGTGAAATTCCCTCTCTTATTTTTCTAAAAAAATATCTCTCTTATTTTAGATAAGTAAATAATTGTAATTATTGAATTCTTTAAAACTATTAATAATTCATTTCATTTAATACTTGAATTCATGAATCGATTAAAACTAGACCACCATGGGACCTGAAAGCACTGGGCGGCTACTTCGTCATAACATGGGACTCCTCAGAAGTGCGAAACCACGATCCCTCTCGCGAGATCTGAATCCAAGACCTTCGGTCTCGCGCGCAAATGCTTAACCTCTAGACCACTGAGCCGGCAACCAATCAATAACGTTCGCTTTCGTTTAAACAAAATCGGTTGTTATTGTTATACTTTGTCATGTGATAGCTTGAAATATCATTTCGTTTAGTTTTTACATACTACAGTTATTGATAAATGATAGACACTTTGATGTATATGAACGATATATTTTACTTCCACTGTTTTGGTTAAGCTTTTATCAACTAAATAATAGAAATAAACAAAACAAACGGAGAGACTATCTATAACTTGGTAAGAAAATGTAACGGATAGTATAAAAATGGACCAACAAAACGACGACTAGATTATGTCTATAGACATTTAGTCTATTATTCATATTCACACACGTATCGGACTGATTAATACCTAATACAGATTTAATGCTCGATGTTAAATGAAAATTAGGTACTTCTGTAAACTGTATATTCTTATCTAAATAATCTAAAAAAACGAATTCCTCTAAGAAACATTTCTTTATAATTAAATCATCACCATATATGGATTCAAATAAATATCTTAAAATCGTTAACTAACAAAATTTAATCCTCGCAACAAGAGACTAGATAATATGCTATTGATTTTATCACTTCGTGATTGATCATTAAAAAAATCTAAGATCAGCCTGAACAATAATAAGTCAATCACTGATAAAGTATGTAGTTGCAGTACTGGGTGATGCATGCTCAGATCTCTGGATATACATTTATTTTTTGTGGATTGTAGATGTATTTCGGTAATAAATGTCGACCAAGTAGAAACCTGGATGTAACGTTTCATGACAATTTCTTGCAATCATCTAACGTAATAATCAATACAGTGCTTAATAATAGTCATGATTAGTATGTTGTTAATCAGTGTAATTTATGGCAAAATTAACAGAGCCCCAGAAAACTGAGATAGCAAATTCTAAATAAATTAATCGTATCGCATAGAAAAGGTTAAGTAAACAATTTTAATCTGACATAAGTGGATTTTACAAACTGTAGACCAATAAGTTTAGGTAGGCTAAAACATGAAATTAATATTATCATAAATAGAAAATAAATTCCTTATCAGATTAAAGTAAATTATTCTTTAAGCTAAACCATATTCGAACTTAGGTCAAATAATTTTCTTAAGATTGTTTTAGAAGAGAGCTGAGCAGATATTATTTTCAGAAACCACATTAAGACACATTAAACCGCATACTGCCAGGCAGGACCCATACGTAAATCACAGTAAATTACAATACTATCAAGGATCATTTATAAATGAAGTTAAAATTTTACCAACCAGTCACTAGTAGTAACAGTGTCTTCTTTTCAATGAGATGAATGCAACTTAGTACAGTTTTTCACTTGATAACAGTATTAAGGGATCGTTTTAATCATCTTAAGATAGAACACTGACTTCAGATCAATATCTGTCAATCAAATACATGAAAACGCTTATCTACAAATATAGGTCTATACAAAAAGCGAGCATTTTATGCATTCAGTAATTCCTGTGGTGAAGCGTGTCATCAGTCTATGACAAGTAGAACTCAACTAGTATTACACATTTCTAGCGTTTATTAAATCTGTTCTCAGCTTGCATATGCATTCTTCATCATTAAAACCAAATTTGACCATACCATTAAAATAAAACAGAGCAATTTAATTGATTCAAGCGCACGGAATTAAAGAGAACGCCGTAGAAATACGTTTAAGAGCACTAAAATCTGGCTAATATATATTAAGAACGTCATGATAATTTTATGCGATAGAAATCTGTCTTAATTGATCCACCCTAATACTGCCAACAGAAGCTCAAAGTAAGTGAAATCATACATCACATCAAATTGTCAACAGTGAATACAGTGTTGTGGCAATCGTCGGATTGGTCATATTCAAGATACATTTCTCTCAGTTCCGACTGGCACTTGTGTTCTGTGAAGTCGGATGAATTGACTAAACTCTGATTTTAAGTTGTTGATAGTTTAAAATAAAACAACATTCAAACTAATTGATTCTCTTTTTATCTACAAAACAATGTTTTGAAGATTGGTTGGGCAGCTGTACAAATTCCTCATTTATCAATTATCAATGATTTGACAGATCAACATGATGAACGAGTATTACTTGCATCGTTAAGATATTTCTTCAGTGGCATAGGCGATATGGCTACATTGCTCGTGACGTATTTATTTTTTGAATCAGAAAAATCCAGTTTGTTACTTTTGAAATCAGTAAATGAGACTGACATCAATGAGAACAACAGTCAACTGTTCACAAAATCATTATTAACAACTGACATTATTGTTGGAAGTGAACGAGTAACATTGTCCAATGATTCGATAAATAACCAGTTAACAAACGTTGGAAAACAGTTAGTTGTCCATTCAGAATACAACATAACAATTCAAGATTTGCCCATATTTCGAAATGTTGCATTGATTGTCGTTGGGATTGGAGTATTATTCACAATAATCTTCCATTGTGGTGTTCGTGAAGGTAAACCGAAAACACACCAACCACTCACAATAAAATCTTCTGAAAGTAAGTCAAATACCATGTTGATGTAAATGGAATTTCGGAAATCTCGACTATGCATGAACGCTTTTACACTTGGATAATTTGATCCGGTTATTAATGAGTTTGTAGGTATCATTACCAAGATTTGATTTGATAATTTCGAATAAATTGAGCATTGGGTAGATTGTTATAAATAAATAATATATTTGTAATATCCTCATTGGGATATTACAAATATATTATTTATTTATGTATGAACGATGTTTGTTGATATGTTTACGTGTTTCAACAAATGGAGCTGATGCGGATGAAAGGATTTTTAGAGAGATCTCTGTGCTGATTGAATAAACGTTAAACTCAGTGCAACCAATTTGATCAATAAAAAGTAATCATCTGATTAGTTTTGACTCGAATAGGGTACTAACTTGGTAAATCTTGTGGACTGAACTCAGTTGGATAATGACGAAAATGTTAGTTATCATCATCAGACAGTTGTTTCATTGAGATTTGCGATTCCTCGTCATCTATTACTCACCACTCAGAGGCACTCAGGTCACACCGCGCGAAACCCACTGATCTGTGGTTCATTAGTTGTCCTTGAGTGGTTGGATTCACATTTCACTCCAGAGAAATGTATAGGTCACCAGGAGCATCAGACTAAGACGAACTAGGTGTATAGTCCTTCCTAGTTTCTAATGTTTCTCTAGTTGATGCCAGTCGATTCCGGTTCATGTTTCGCACCACATTCAAACAAACCTATTTCCACGAACCTTTTGGCCATAAGGAAAGTGTGACAGTTAGAACTCGAAAGGTGGTGAAATATTCTGCTGTTGAATCTGATACGTCGTTCTTAGAGTCAAGTATGAAGATAGTCCGTTGAACAAACTGCATGCTGAAATGTTTTTCACTAAACATATTTGGTTATACTCTCTCGTTTAAACCAACATTTAAACGAAATAGCTTGCAGACATCCAACTAACAATATTCTAACCATCTGAAAGTTTGAAAATTAAGTTGGTGTAGTTGCTGTTTTCCGTATGTTATTACTGTAACTATCGATAACACTGATGACCAAACAGTTTTCGAAATGCTCTAAAATCTTCTAACGCAGAAGATCACCTGACTTTGGTGTACTTCGATCTGTATCCGTTTGATTATATGTGTGTACATTTGTATATGTATATATAAATGAAATGAAATATAGTGTTGACGGGTAAATAACAACTGGACCGATTATATACTTATGAGAAACTCAGTCAATTGATGGTCGTCAACATCTAATAATCAATGTATTTCTCGTCATATTCGGATGAGTAGTAAATTGTTTTTGTGAAATTTTGTGACTTGAGGTGAGCCACATGTTCATAGTAAATAACAACTACTTTCGAACTACTCCCAAAATAACCTTTGGAATGTACAGATGTAAAAGTGTAGATTTGTTTTCTTATTGTTTTGAAGTGAAGTAAATCTTTCACCATCACGGCAGAGGTATTTTCAGACTCGCGTGAATATTGCGATGAACGAAAATCAGTGGAATAATTTCGATTCATGTGAAACAGTTGACTGGAATCCTAGAGAACAGTATATTCGTTCGTTGAATTGGTCATTTTGAAGTAGTAGAACCACACAGCAGATGAATGTAAACGAAACTGTTATAATCTGTTAACTACATGATCTTGTTTGGTCTGTGAAATTTCGACTTCTTCTAATTGAGGTAATTTAATTGAGGTTATTGACGTGTATGAAAGCGATGTCAGTTCGGCACAAGGAAGAAATGAGTGCACGAATGGAGGTGTATGAATTGTACAATTACCATGACTTTATTACATAAAGCACGTCGAATGATTTTGATAATGTGAATGATGTTGTGTTTACTGACAGTATCTCCAGAACTTTGCATGTTATACTAATACTGAAAAGTGATTTTTCTTCGACGGAAAATGTAAAGATATCGCATTCGTTTGTCGCTATCGATCATTTATATTCACAATATACCAGTCCGTGTATATAATCCACTCGCTGTTATTTCTTCCCAGAATTTTCACGTTGGTCCTCGAGAAAGATTACATTATGGTTTGAACACTGTCGATCATGTTAATAATGGCACTCGTTTTTATTTGATCACCAGTAAATTTGTGGAAAATTATCCCCATAATCGTGGGTGATTGAATGATGCTGTTTGATTTGACACACACAAATCGCTTCAACTGCGTTGTTTCTCCATTCCATCTTCTCACCAACAATTTGTTTGAGTACATAAAACTTATAAAGTGTAGTGATAAATACAAACTATCCAAATAACGTTATCTAACATCTGTAGGTGATAATCAGTTCACACGAACAAATTGTAGGCATTGAATGAGATTCACCTACACTATTTCTTGTAATCTGAAATCAGTGAGAATTTGACACTTATTTCTTTCTATTGTTCAAGATGCATCAGATGAATTGTCACAAGCGAATGGAACAAGCAACAATAACGGACTGATTAATGGTAATTCTGTTGTGGTTTCACAGCTCAAATCCAAACGAAAACGGACCTACAGCCTTTCATCTACACTTCCCTGGTATGCTTGGTTTACACTACCAAGATTCTGGCTGAGCTGTTCTACATTCAGTATAATGCGTCTTAGTGTAACTGTTTCTGTGGTAAGTAATGAATCATTAAAGAACCTAATGGAATGACGACAAGTGAAGATAATTTTCTGTACGGAACCTCTCCTATGGGATCATATTTAGGAAGTCTGTTTCAGGATTATAACACAATCAGGGTTTTATCGTTGAAATCTCTATGGAAGATGAGATTTATGTGAAAATAAGTGAAGTATCGAACAACTGGAAAACATTGAACTGTTAATTGATAATATGTTAAAAGCACCATCAAAATGAAATGCATCCTTCCAATAAGTGATGTCGAAAAATAATCACAACATATTCTGCAAATCAGATAATATCGCACGACTTCACCAAGCAAGAACATCAAGAATCAACGAAAAAATCAAGGTCTTCTTTGAGACCGGATATACCATTTTAAAATTCAATTGTAGGAGGTCTGAACTAATAAGGTTTCAGAATTCAGATGGCAAGTAGAAACAGTGACCTAAATATCGATGGGAGATGCTCATGTATGGAAAACTTTGGTTGTTTAGATAAATATCGCGCTTAGTATTAATTGGATCATTAAACTGGTTACGAATAATGCAAGCTACCTCGCAGTAATGGATGGTGTGGCATAATATGTAAAATAACATGCGACAGAGATGTGCCTAAAACATGAGAAGCGAAATGGACTCTACTTCAAGTGGGTTCATGATGAGGGTAAAGTGTTCGACATTCAGCTTGTTCCGTAAAACTTGAGGCTGAAGTATGCAATATTTTGTCATTGCCTCTCAGACGTCCAATCAATAAATCCTTTTGTAACTTGTAACGATAGTAACTACAATGTAGAAGAATATATCAGTGTGAAAATCTTCTGATTATATTAAGAATTACATAGTAATCCGATATAGTTTAGTTGAGATGCTTTGATAACAAATATAAACATGTAGTATTGCAATACTAGTCCTATATTTGATGCTTGAGACCACGTGTATCTGTGATCATTAGTACACAGCTGAAGTCGACAGTCAGTAACTCTCTGAACTAGCGTTATGTTAAGGATGCTCATAATGTTTCCCTAATGAATTCACTTCAAGCATCATTAAGTTTTCGTGATGGACTTCAGTCAAAATCGACTAAGATAATTAGTACATTCACTTCTCTATATTCATTTTATGCATAAACGTCTCATTGTTCTTCCACAAGATTCTTTTCATTATCCATGTTTGTTATTAAACTTTGCCGTTTTGTGTTGAATTTGTGATATATTTAAATGATATAGCAGTTTACTTTGATTTACCTACCTGTCTATTTGATCTACTTGCAATGAATGATCTATTTCAACTTCTGTAAACTTATTATATGATGAAATTCAACGTTAAACTCTCAATATTAGATAAGTATTTCAAACCATCAGAAACACATACAAAGTTAGGTACATAGATTAAAGTACTAAGAACACAGGTCGGATAAAGAATTGCTTTAATTAGTTCTTCACAGGAACACGAAACTAATATACATGTTCTAAAATGAAGACTAAAGCCAATGTCATATAAATGGTGGTTGGTCAGTTTAACAATGCATTTCAATATTTCCTCTAAAAGTAGTCATCAGTTAATAAATAAACGGATACAAAATTCGATCTGAAGACGAGAGTACGTATTCAGATTATCACAACAACTCTTTACCGACACGAGGGTTTAACAGTGTTAATGTCGAAGTTCATTCAATTCACGAAATGGCGCAAACCAGACTTATCATGGCTTTTAGTGTATAATTGTTTCACACTGGACATTGTTGAATTCAACTGGTCACAGCCTCTCGCTTGAACTAAATTTAGCATACTTACAATAGTGAAATGGAATAGATTTGAATATGTGGCGATTGGGACAGACTTAATTCAATTGAATAAATATGATATGTGAGAGAATGTTCTGGATCATCAGTTATGATGACTAGAGATCATAGCTGTAAGACAAATACTTGATTATTTAATGAGGTGTCTGAACACAAACTGATTGTAATTAAGAATGAAATGTGTTGAGATCAATTATTTAGAACTGAAATTATGAATTTTAAAGAAGTGATGCATTTGAGATAAGAGGACCTCCAAGAATGATCCGATAAATTCATTATAACGTCAACTTAGTATGGAATTTATCATTATCTCCTTTTTGATATGGAAATACTGCTTGAGTCTTTTGGTACCTTCAGGAAAACTTCATGATAACAGGATTTTAATTTCAGGTGATTATTCTGGGATATTTCAGTGCATCAGCCCAATTAAATGTCAATAATTTATATTGAAATAGCTCTGTTGTAACACTATTAACTGCTGATCAATAATGTGTTGTAAATAAATGATAACTCGTGATTAATTATCTATCGAAGGGATACTTTCATTATGACTTTTGACTACCTGGTATTGAGATGGTGGAGAAGATCTGTAGCTCATGTGGATGAAGACTTCACTTCTATCTGAAGTTTGTGCTGATGATGTCGTTCAGAAGAACGATGAAAGCTCCACGACCAAACCATCCAGCTCAGAGAACAAAACTCCATCAAAAGACTACGTGATAATTCATGAAAATAATTGCTCATATTGACTTATGTATTATTTATTGTATTCTTAGTGAATACAAAACAATTTACCATTCAGAGAAAAACATATCCTACAACAATCAATCTACTCACAATAAAATAAATAGATAGGTTTGACAGTAAACTTTACGAATCCCACAATGAAAGCAAATTGGTTGGTAATCAGATCTATAAGGCTCATTTCTCTTTATTCAAGAATGATCAACTATGCTTACCTGCATCTATACTGGTAGTTTCATTGAAATTGTATCGCATATGTATATCCGGTTTGTTACGTACACTAGGGAATAGCTCATGACTTTACCCAACCATCATATATCAGTTCTGCAAAAAAGCACATACGAAGATGTGCATAATTCGAAATCTGTGTTAAATTACGGACGTTAACTTTAAACATATGCTTTGAATTTTAGTATATTTTGCATATGGCTGACTGTAAAATCCAGGATATGAGTCTCGTTGTATACGGATTTCATCATTCGGATACAGCAGTATTGTACTTTTCATGCTCCCATCTAAGCATGAGCACCTTACCTTTACGTTCAAATTGAATAAATATGCCAATATCACGAAAATTTCTATTGACCACTGAAGTTGAATAGCAGTTAGTAAAAGAATCCTGGACTCATGTTTCGATTTATTCAAAAAAACTAGTATGCAGATACATCCAGCGGACGAGCCCCGAGCAATACGAATGTGGGTCCTGAATTCCACTGCTAACCACATAAATATATGAAAAATCTACGATTAAAGATTATTATGCAGCGAACCAAACGGAAGCGATTAATTCTCTTTCTGAATACTAACGGTATAAACTTGCAGACCCTTAATTTTATACGTTGTAAATCCCTTAATAAATAATACGAGAAATTTACTAATATTTGTTTTTTAATTGCTGTGTTACTAGATGTATATGGGTCCATTTTTGTTGAATTCATTAAAAATGGATAAAAGTTCAATGGTTTCCGCCCCATTAGTTACCACAATTTCTTGTTTGATTACATCAGTTGGTGTTCAAAGGATTAATAAATTACTCGGGAATTATGTAAGTAGAAGTAATTGACGATTTCAACAACACTGAAATCAAGTTAAAGTTTATTACTGAAAATTATTTCACATTTTAATAAGCTCTGATTCATAACAGTTTGGTTGACCACATTTTAAACCTCATTCATGATTCATTTGCCACTCGAGTACAGTTTAATCTGTCTGTCTATAATCGGTAATGAAAAACTAACAGGTTGTCTCCACTATAAACCGTCGAAAGTAGTATTTATACAGTTTCTTAGAGTTTATAATCATCTACGTGTTAACATATGTAGGCGAAAATTAACCGTAATTGTAAGACCTGATGAGGTTTCGATCGAGAAGGAACAATTCGAGTCCATAACTATAAAAACATCACTCTTGAATTTTATGGTGTTGAAGAGATCTAGAGTGGGGCATCACATGATATTAAACAGAACACATTGAGAGACAATTTAGATGGTTTCCGAGTACATTTTCATTGGTCGGTATCAACAAGTAGTCTGAGTAGTAGATCGACATCGAGGCGAAAGGACTCAAAGGGGCCAAACGTCTCATGTGATAAAGGCAAGTAAAACAACTTGATCAATCAAACAGATTACAGCTTCAGTCATGAGTGAATCAACAGAATTACTAATGTTCCTCAGATTCTGAAAATTAATCATATTAATTATATCGGCTGATATAGAGGATGTGTTTGACTTACTCTAAGGAAGTCTCATGTGGCAGTTTGTATTGCAGAAGGCTCTATCGAAATAACACAATTATGGGTAGCTTTACTCAAATACTAGAGCACGTATAATTACCTGGAAGCACCGTCCAATATCCAGACATGATGCAGAATATGAGGTTGAATCAGACAACAGATTAAGTTAGACATTTTCAATATAACTCAATATATTTCCAACACTTATCAACTCCCCATTGAATACACAGTTTTCAATAAGACAATGGGAGTTAAGATTACAGTAGTTCTTTCACTATACATAACTATTTACTCTTTACTCATGTAACATAACTTTGAATTCAGTATTTGTTACGCAATCGTCAGCAGATTCTAATGTTGGTTAATTCATCATATAACTAACACACAATCCAATCACTTGAATTAACTTGACTACATTCAATGGATTGTATCTTATTAATTTTAAAGAGCTGCAGTTTTTCACATATGTTGGTCAGTTATTCTTAACAAGTGAATACACAGAGATGAAAACTCTTTGAAGAATAATGAAACGAAGTAGACACTGTGAAGGTGGATTTCGTGACTGACTGATATTATCAATAGAATCGTGCAAAGACAGAGTATTTATTATACAGATAACGAGTTCTAATTCACAACTAGGTTGACAGAAAGCATTAGGACTAGATATCATATAATTAACACACTCTAATCACTTGAATTAATTTGTCTATATTCAATGGATTGTATCTTATTAATTTCAAGGAGCTGAAGTTGTCTTGACAAACATTACCACTGAGATATTAATATGCAAACCGATCACTCATACATAACACATCATGGCTTTAAAGTATTCAGAGTAGAATTTTAAATGTCTATCGCTAGTTGATAATACTCTAAATGGTCACTTACTCATCTTGCCAATGATTGGCTTGACTTGATGCTTTACTTCTCATATGTGAATTTCAACAAGCACGTTTGTCTATTTTATAACATCATATCTCTTTGAGTGTGTACATGTTCCGCTACAACTCGTACATGTCTTTTTAATTTTAGATTGGCTCAGTCGTCGGTGTTCCATTTATCCTCGGATTTTGTACAATCGCTTACTTTTTAAAATCAGCCGATGAAAACCTCGTAGCAATCTATTTTGCTGCAGCCATCCTAGGCATTGGAAACACAATCAATAATGTTCGAGCATTAGTTGTGATCGCAACATTGATTGGTGTAAAACAAGTGCACACAGCAGCATTTGTTCATGGGATCGCATCATTTTTTGACAAAATTTTGACTGGTGTCTTCATTCAATGCATACAACTCTGTGTACCTCAGTTAACCTATAGACATATACAGGTGTATATTGTAGGCAGTTTGGCAGTATTCGGTGGTATTCTAGCGACAATTGATAATTTCATTTATTCAGAGAGTACAGATGCACCATGTCTTTCATGTTTTTATCGAAGAACAACTTCATCATCGAAATTTCAGAGTGACCGAACCTTTGATCGTGATGTTAGGAACGAAAAGGAAAACAACGATAACTGCAAATGCTAACCAACATATTTATGTATCATTAATACAAGTCAAAAATATTTCCACATGCAACAAAACGTCTCCATTTTCTATCTTTCTACCACTTTTCCGTCTGTCAGTTAATTGATGTATATTCACCTACTCTTCCCTTCAAAGAAACTCGATCTATTATGATACATTTCAACATGAAATCCATACTTTTCTTAAGCGATCTACTATCGAATACTTCATTCTACTTTTCCACTGAATATTTTATTTTTGTATACATCAGGCTGTAGTACTTAGACACTTGATGTAAATTAAGAATAAGGAGTACTCATAATATTTGTTATTTTAGCGGAATATTGTATTAATTATCATTAGTTATTCGTAATTGATTCTTCGACAGATGTCTTCTCTGCAAACAAGCAGAAGCTAGAGTGTAGGTAACATTTTTTAATAAAACAAGTAGAAATAAATTGTCCCAACCAACATGTATTATAACTCTATTCATTAACTTCAAAATTGGTTTACAATGGCTGATAAAGAAATGAAAATTATAGATTGACGATTATTTATTTTGCCCTGAACTCCACATCATGATAACCTATGACTAGTTTATGGTTTATATTGTGACAAATTTAAAAGGTGAGATAAGTAAGTATTTCCTTCTAAACAGAAGGAAATCACACGTAATTAATTAGAATCCCAATAAGTTTATTGTAGTCAAATCCGAGACAAAATTGTATTGGTAAATTACGTCAAACGATACAAGATTAAGAGATGCACAAATTCCGAAAAACAACATACAGCCAAATACAGTATGTAACAAAGTTTTATTTATGGTATTTGGTAGATAGTACTTCTTTGATCTTATTCACAAGATCTGTGTATAAAACTTCATATTCTTCTCGGCTTTGAATATCTCTCAACTTGACAGTGTTACGAGCCAGTTCACTTTCTCCTAGAACAACGGCCAACGGAATACCAGTTGATTCACAATATTGTAGTTGATCCAAAAGTTTGGGCTGATTTTTATGCGACATCGTAGCCTGTGAATTAAGTGTTTCGAAGTAAAAGTATAATTATGTATTAGGTTTAATCTATTGATGACAGTAATAATAGAACAGCATCGATACTATGAGAGGACAATAGGAAATTTAATTTTGGATGATGATTCAATCATTCATGTACAAATTATCTTAAGAACTGCAAGAACAATTGTATAACTATTACTTAAGAACTTCACTTTGAAATAGTGAAAGTAAGTTCAACCGCTATCCTGTTTGAGTCCACCAGTCATCAACATAGAGCCTGACAGATGTGCGTTGGCTCAAGTTGCTATACTATATCACCACTATGAGACCAAATTAACAAGACTTGTAGTAAAAGAGACTGAAGTAATGTAGTAATAATGATGATGGAAAAGACTATGCATTGAGAAAAGATATTAAAGATACATATGAAGGAATACTGAAGTTCCACATTGAGAATAAAATAAAAAGTGAATGTCTATGCGATATCATGAACGGTTATTAGTTATGTCGAACAACGCTTCTAGTCACAAGTTCCGGTTATCTCTCCGGCTTCAATCACGTAATCTCCATCTACCAACGTTGCTCAGACCAATAATCAATGACTTCATGGACTGATACGATGTCCTGGTTTGGCCGGTACTAGCTTTATTCCAATCTAATCCTATACCAGACATTTCCTGTCAAGGTTATCAGTGAGTGGGCGTGCCTAATACAGATCATAACTGTTATATTCCAGTGAAGATTAAATTAATGGACTAATATTCTATAAATATCCTTATTGTATAATTATTCAATAATTACATTATGTGTATTTATATTCCACTTATTATAAGCTTTAATTTGACCCATAGATTATTACTATACGATTTATTATTCTTGAGTTATGGCCTGTCTATTAATTACGATCTCCCGCGTTCACAGCCAATTTTTGGCTTATTTGTGTACACATGTTATTTTCTATTTTATGGTACGTTGTGGTCTGTCTGATTGATATATAAACCAATTATGTCTGAAATAAATGATTCCATTCATATCACAGAAGCTGGTATTGTGTTCTGGACTCAAGCGGACGGGCTAGAAGGACATAGGACCCAATAAAGAAGCTAGACCGCTCATACCGGTTGAACGTCATTGGTTTGTCCTAGTGCGAAGATTTGTATAAGTCATATTCTGATTGATGGATAAGTCACGTGATCGAAAGCCGGGCATAAAATCATAACAATAACCACTGCAATCAATGAAGGTTGATAGTCTCACCAACCAAGCTGCTACATTTACCTGGTAACCCGTAACTAACATGAACATTACTTCTAAGTCCTCGAATAAGTATCATCAGTATGTAAGATTTTTCCTACAGATATTCTGTCAGAGCTTTAAACGCGATACTAAAGACCCAAAGTTTGTGTGAAAGTTATGGTCAGAATAAAACAACTTTGCTTTAAGCTTTATCTGTTTCTAAACGTCAAGGACAATTCGATTAGTACAATAATTAAAGGAATTATAGTCATTAAGTGAAACACACAAACATACCAACTAGTATTACGAACTTATGGAAATGAACAAAAAAAATGATTTGCAGTCACACTAATATGATAGAATAATAGTGTCCTTCAATTGGCAGGTCACATGAAACAGGAATAGTCTACACACACCACAGACCAGGATAACATGATGAGCATATAAGCAGCGATACGATTGGTTAGTTATGGACACAAATATTAAGTTAATAATTGAATTCATGAGCCGATTGAAGCTAAGCCACCATGGAAAACCTGGAAGCACTGGGCGGCCGTTTCATTCTAGTATGGGACTCCTCAGCAGTGCACATTCACGATCCCGCCCCGCGGGATCTATCGGTCTCGCGCGCGTAAGTATTTGTATAATATGCGCTTTATAATCCAGAATGCAAACTTGTATAGAGATTCAGAGTTGTATTAACACAAAAAAAACATCTTAATCAGTACATCAGTAAAACATTAACAACACAGGGACTGGCACGAACGTACAATCATCTAATTTGGCAAACCATGCAACCATAAAAAGGAAAGCAAAAGATTTAAAATAATAATAGAAACAAGCCAAGTAGAACATAATTTTAAAAGCAGGAATAAAATTAACAAACGGAAAGTACAAAATAACATTCTAAGGAAGATTCCTTTTTCACAATCCTAGTTGAAAAATTGAAAGATTGATGTCTGGTTGTAACTGTTTGTTAATATGACAAGAAGTAATTCGTTTTCTTAATGTTATGAGACTGTTCCTTTTGCAAAATAGATTAAGAATATATTTTGTTACTTATATTAACACTAAGACATTTGAATCAATCAAATGAAACTTAAAAACGAAATGCTTACCTTAATCTTTGCATTCCATAAAAGTTGACAACATTGTAAACGTTGCATAATAAGACCCTTATGAGCTCCAGCAACCATGACTTCAGTTTCAGTTGGTCGCACGTTACATTTATTCTTATCTGAAGAATTACTTAAGGCTTCTTTAATTGCTAGTAGTCGTTCAACACCAAAACTAAAACCGACACATGGCACTCGTGTTCCAGAAGAATCAAACATTCCAACTAAACCATCGTATCGGCCACCACCAGCTACACTACCAACAGCCATGGATTCGCCAGATGTAACAGATTCCTCCTCTAACTGTTCTTTGGCTTTCTTATCCTTTTTACTTGATTTTGTATTTTTTACAGAGGATTTTAAGTTAGTTTCACTAGAACCAGTCAATTCTGCACTTGAACTATTTGGATTGTAAGCGAAACCTGTTGTGTGAAACAAACAGTGGATTTCATTTAAATATTGGATTGTATTTTTGGAAAAAGAGATCGAAGTAGGCTACAAATACATTTTATTGAATTTATAATAACCCTTGAAATAATGTTTTTATCTACAATATGGTATGATCCATAAACATGGTCAGTGAGCGTCTTACACGCAAAAACGCAATGATAGAAAAGAATCTGTCCCATATACAATAAATTGTGTACGGTAAGGTGTAAATGAATAAGGAACAAACTCAAACTTATTGGGCTGTAGCAAGTACCGACAAACAACAAGACAGCAATAATTAGCCAGTCAGTTAATCATAAACAACGTAACACCTGACACAAGTTCAGTTCGTGCTGATGCAGTGTGGGAACTTGCACCGATGAATATGCCCCCAAATGCCCTGGTAAGGCTGAGAGTGGGGAGAGTCCGCTTACCCTCTAGGAATGCTCTCACATGGCCACGCGTAAATAGCCTCTACCAGAGAAGTCCTACTCACTGCCATTTCTCGATAAGGGTGTTGTTTACGAGATTGAAAGGACGAAGAGCGAATGTCCGGCGATCTAACGGGGTTGGTGGACATAGAGAGTCCACCTAAGGGAGTTGGAAAACCCTGATTCCAAACCAATGGTGCACATGGGCTCCAGTATCCTGAGGGAACAAATGGCGTATGAACCAATCGTTGGTCACCGGCTACCATGGGAATGCATCTCCTTACGATGCTCATGGTATGAACCGATAATGTATGTTACTGAGAAATATACTAATCCACTTTATTACTTCAAAAACCTTCACGGTCACAAAGAATCTGATTCTATATGTGTAGCAATTTCTCAGAGTCTATTATTAGTATTAATGTACACAGAATATCTACTGGTGACAATTCTTGCTTGGAAAATACTTCACGAACCAGATATTTAAATATGTAATTGATTAAACCGATTAGTAAGCATAAAAATTATGGGAGACTAACAAAATAATAATTTATGATTAATTTGTTCACCAGGTATTTTGGAATGAGCCACACTCTAATAATAAGGACTAATCACGCTACCCGATTTCCCGACCCGAAGTAGGTGGGGCAGGAGCTTATTGGCCGAAGGTCGAACATCTTAATCACAGGAGACAATGTCGAGCCCGCATAGCTTATTTTAGCTTCTGGACTGACCAATTTATCCATTCTTCTCAAGGTACATATTGACCTTGCTAATTATTCGCTTATCAACCTTGACTTTTTATATGTGTATGTGCGTACATTGATTTTCCTACTCATCACATGCCTGTAACTTATTTTTGGTCTGACTATAAATATTGATTCACGCTTGGTTAAATTGAGTTAGCTCGCTCGCCTTTTCATTGAGCATCATTTAGTTCCGCTTCTCTCTCTCCCATTTGCTTCCTTCGCTCTGTCTCCCCGATTGTCTGTGCAGATCAACGATTTTACGAAATAAGCGTATTCAAAACTCAATCCTGGTATTTGACTTATTTTATTCCGTTATTCACTAACGCGATTTAAGTTGATGATTACATACGAGGGTAGCCAGGATGTATATTTCAATAACAATCAGAAACGATTTAACTGGAAAAATATCTAGGGCCATAACAACGTAAAAAAATGCATAACTAGATGAACCAAAGTAAGCAATGAACTGTTGTCACAATTAATGATGTAGAATATTCTTTCACATTAGGTATATATTTACAATATTCAGTCTATTAATTTCATTTACACCCTTGCTATACTATACGAATATGTCTTTAATATAACTTCTAACCAAACCCTCTCATGTAAGTCATTTAAACTCATTATCTAATTATGATCTATAAATATCACAGGTTGTAAGCAGCTGATGAGAACCTACGAAATAGAATGAATTCATGCTATTCTGCTAGAATCTTTGTTCTTGTTTAATTAAAAGTATGGAATCAATGAAATTGGCGAATCCCAAACAGGAATAAACATTGATGATAGTCCTTTTTTTAAAGTAAGGATGCGACTAGTGGTCTCGTTGACACAGTAATTCATGAAAAGCAGTGGTTTGTAGCAACAAAAAAGAACAAAACCTATGAAGGTTATTTCAATTAGTTCCTTATTATTTAGCTGGCTTATTATACTAGTACGGAAAAAACCTGTTATAGCCAGCTAATTAGCATCGATTCAGCTGGTAATTATAGACTCAATTTTAAAACCCTAGTCACTTTATCTAATAAAGTGAAGTTTCCACATAAATACACTTAAAACTCTTAACAAGACAACGGAGAACTATACACCGACTATTTGTCTCTATATACCTAATCTAGCAATCATGCAAACAGGCGGATTTTAGTAGGATAAAAACGTGAGGAACGTAAACAAATCTTAACGGAAAATGGTCAAGAAAGTAGTTAATCATAAGTTGTACGAATGACAGCAACACAATTAACAGTTACATTGCTGAGTTACTTACAAGATTATCAGACCTCATACATTTTAGGTGCTTGTTTTGTTGAAGGATGATAAAAGCTGTACAAACAAACTATATATTACAAAAAACACAACTCTAACAAAATTACAATGCACTTTGTTGTACTAAAACCTTTAGTGAAATATGGAAACATTTGATGAGCTCATCGGACAAACCTTTCAAAACAGCTTCGTAAATAACACCGGTATAGTAATCCAACCCGCGCGCTAGACTTAAATCGAAGCTGATTCGCTCTTGGATCCCAAGTGCTTTACAATAGTCTAATAATAATCTCATTTCCTGAAGAGCTGCTTTAGCTGATGGTTGATTATTAAGGTGCTCATCTGATTCGAGACGTTCAACTAGATCCAAACCTCCAGTTAACTGAACATATGAACCAATTTTATTTGCAGCTTCAGGTGACAACCCTTTGTCTTCACATAATTCCCGTCTGACATCGTCCCAAGGAATCTGAAAAATACAAGATGAATGCGACAAGGTTCATGAACACAAAGGTTGGTGGTAGTATATTTATTCAAATGCACAAAACTTTCTGATCTATAATGTTGCACAAATCCACAGAAAAGCTTTAAATATATATGACTAAAAATAGATTTAACCAACAGAATATAAAACTGAAACCCTAACAAGGTAAATTACGCAAAACTGTTAACCAATGCGTCTATATCAAAGCAGTACTATTTCAATAATTGCTGTGAGTTCCCTTTATATAAGTTTCAGCACCACTATCCTCGGATCTTGAAAACAAGAAATAATTATGAACAGGTTGAAAAAACATATGTACAGTGATTTTAAAATCAAAAGGCGTGATTGTTCCAGACACGTGTGGAATTTCCGATGCTAATGTCCACGTTCATATCATGCAAAAATCTTGGCTACTAAACACCAACACTGATTTATTAAGTACTGACTATTACACTGTCACTGTACTGGGTTCATCATACAAACACTAAATTCGCAATCTCTCATAACAGTTGTTGAAAGTCGCTTCTGGTTCAAAATCTAGTAGATTTTATAGGCATTTTTCTAGAAGTTCAAAAGAATTATTTTATCTAAATGGAACATATTACTGAACTAACAACCTATTATACTGAATTAAGTGAAGTAAACATTCCATTTAGAGTACTCCACTTTTAATTATAATATTGTAAGTATGAACTCCATCCAAGTAGTGTCACTAGCTCTTGTGAAGATTGCGTGGTCCGAGTCTGAGTACATGGATCGCTACTGCGTAATATCACTAATCTAGAGGTAAAGAGACCTATTTACCCTTATTTTCATCAAGAATAATGACTTATCAAAGGTATCACAAATATACGTAAATAGTTTCGGGGTACTAAGTATATCGTAACAACAAATAAGCAGTAAAGAAATACTGTATGTCGATAAGTAAGCTATTTGTCAACAAATGTGATTTACATGACTTCAGCACCCTAAGCCAGTATTTCAATATAGAAAATGACTGAATGAAGAATTCTTTGTAAAATGAACCAATAGTGTTAACTATTTATTTTACCAGAAGTAGTAATGCGATTAATGTAGTTATTTCGTATGATTCAGTTTCAAATCGCGTCATTACATTCAACATAAAATGTGCGATTCCATCGCAGAGACGATTTAATTCTACAAAACGTGATTAATTCTTTTGTAACTGGAACAATGGAATATCAAGCCATTCACTTCATGTATTATTCGGCAATAAAATTTAAATATAACGTTAGTTCTTTATCGCGAGAAAGTGAACTGGTTCCCCATCGATGTATGATTGTTTTTACACTCACGAAATTTACTAATTAAATGAATAAAACTTTGTCAGTGAATATTCAATATAAGTTAATTTAAAGAACAGAAAAGCACTTGACTGATTGAAAAGTTTCCCAGTAACTTCATTTTTGGGGGCACAGAATCGTAATCATGCTTAGTTTCTGACGATAATTTGTAATATTTGTTGTAGATAATTACAATTTGAGTGTAGTTATATAACAACAAATATGCAGCGGCATTCTTAATAAGACTAAAACCGGAATTAAATTTGAGCAATTAAGCATACCAAAACCACTACATTAAGGAAAATGGAAAATGTTGCAGAACATTCCGAAAATAAATTACGAAATGGAGTGTTTCCGCGAATGTTTTCTAGGTACTGAAATACTAAACTTAAGATCTAGTAAATATGTTTGACTCAGTTTCTCAGGATGCATAAATTAAAAACATGCTTAGCTAAACATCATGAAAAATAGGTTGAATCAATGATAATCTTGATATGGATATTTACGTAGACTTTACAAGCACAGAAATGTCATGTGAAGCTGTTATGTAGATTTAGGAACTCAAGTTACAGGTTCAGATTCTTTTACTAATTAAGGTTTGAGCAAAATAATAATATTGTTAGGTCTAACCACAGGTTTATTTCATAACTTGGTAGATAAATCCATGGCTGGTCATTATATTTCCTTCGCTTTGTTACATAAAGAAATCTACAAGGTAGTAAATGAACAAATCTAATACATACCTTGTCTAGTTTGTCAACTGAGGAACAAGCTGAAACAAACTTGTCCGATGGCACATTACAAGCCGAAAACAGTCCATCAAGCAAACGTCTGTGGTTGATCTTTATAACAAAGTCGCCTAAATCCAATTCTGAAAGCACTTCATATATTATTCGAAGGCACTCTGCATCCGCCAACATTAGCCCGTGATCTCCAGCAATATCGAAATCCTGGAAAGTGAGAAAGCATTTGTGGAAGAATGAGATGCTGACTTTTAAATAGATGGTTAACAAGGTGAAACCCGAACTTACCTAATGTGCAACATCGCCTTACTCGTTATTAACTTACGATCATAGTTTGTATATCGTTTATGTATTTGTTGACTTAGTACATTGACTTCAGATAGACATATGTGTCATTTTTAAATGTCTCAAGCATCACATTAAGGGAAGAGACTGAATAGATGAAGACGAATGAATTGATAACGACGGAAAATTATAAAGGCTAGTGAGCTATAAAACCAGTATTAAAAATTTCCATATATCTTCCCTGTGTATGAGAGAAATGAATGTGGATTAACATTCAAGGTATTACTCTACGCTAACCCATATTTTAGGTAAAGTCAAACACCTTAACTATTACACCACCGTTTAGAGGTATGATGCAGTACTACATATGAAACAAAAAATTAGGACGAAAAAAACCTTAAAGTTATTAGTCCGTGGTGTTATGTATAAACAACTAGCCTACGCAACATGTTACTAGATTTGTAAGATACATCAACTGTTTAAAAACAGTATTTTGACGTTATCACATACGGATGTTTGGTGTCAATTCAAATGTAGCTAACAAAATCCGACTGCTGAGTTGAACAGATCCTATCTACTACTCACATACAGTGACATTTCGTTGGAATGAACATTTAATATCTATGGTTTTGCCGTGTTTGTATTCGCTGGTGATTCCTTTGTACTCGATTACGCGCTGATTACGAATCCTAAATATAATACGTTTATTTATGTTCACCTAGTTCTACCAACCTTAAATAGCACTATTTCAAAAATCCCCAGTTAGCACACAAATTCGAATACTTCTAATTATCACATTGGTGTTGCGATGGAGGCAGTGATTGAACAGTTGGGTATGTATTCTAATTCTGAAATCTGGAGTATGACCGGGAAAGATGTTAAGGATGATAAAATTGTGGCCCATTTCCTTACATTCATAGGAAAGGATGCCTGCAGCTTACCAAAAATTTGGCATATCCAGATAAGCCTATTTCACTTTCCTACGCAGCTCTTAACGAAATACTACTGAATCATGTAGAGTGTGCTAATTTCGAGTGCCGTGAAGGAGCCAAATTCCATGAAACGATTCGTCAGGGCGACCAAAAGGTTAGAAGATTCATCCTAAAAACGCAGAAACAAACCGCCAAGTGTGATTTCGATGATCAACTTCATATGCAGCTGAGTGCTCGGTTAATTGCAGGAATTAACACACGAAATCTAGAAAGACAGCTTATACAAATGCGGAAGTGTACCTTACAAGATGCTACAACTGTCTTGAGCGCTGCTAGCGGTATAAGGGTGGTTATCACTTCCCGGTTGCCCACACCGTGGAAGGGTTCTTCTGGAGGTACCTGAAAAGGAAGTTGATCTTAGTGACCTGAGAGAGTGACCACAGTGCCCAAGAGACAACTACTTGAAGTCGGTCACACACTACATTTTTGTGAGTAATTTTCGTGTTAGCTCCGTAATTGTTGAGACCTTACCGCCGCAGACGGATACCCGTGGGATAAGGCGAGGTGTGCATTTTTAGGGTCGACCTTTTCTAACCCCACCTCTCCTTGTGGGAAAGCAGCATCGCTGTTATGGTGGTTGTCCGAAGGAAACACCCTACTGCTGTTACACCTCTGTACAGTCAGCAGTACGACTTCGCCTTCGGACCTTGAGTTTGCTGATTTTAGTTTTACCGTTCTTCAACCGACCTGTCTGGCATGGTAGGACCTTGAGGAACGGTTGTTCCAGCCAGTATAGATCGGTCGCTTCATTACGACAGGCAAGCCCGACCACCACGTTAAGGCAGAAACAACGGTCCGGCTAAAAGTGTGCGTTAATTATGAGCCAGTGCATGAAATTGACTTTTAGGACATCAAGAATTCTACTACACTAGTTGGTTATCCTAATGTGATGCGTACTTAAGGTCATGCAGGCAGGCGTTTAATTAACGATAACCCTAGTTCTCGTGAAAACACGAAAATAATTCATTGAGGAGTTGCAGAGCAGGTTACAGAGTTGAGCACAGGTTCCGTAAATGTTTAGTTCGAATACTTTTAATTATCATAGATTTACAGCCCTGAAACTTCAGAAGACATGCAGAGAGTAACCTAGGTTACTAGAAGCAAATGTGGTAATCGAAATTGGGAGCCAACCAAACCCAACAGACAACTAAACACCCGACCTTGTCGCAACAAAGGAGGAATAGTAACGAAATGTAATCATTAGACAGACACAACAATGAAGTTAAGTGACTTCGAAAAGTAAAATTTGTAGTACTTTACTTACACACTGGTAAAACTCCCGGTAACGACCGCGCGTCATAGCCGGTTGATCACGCCGATAAACCTTTCCGATTTGGTATCGCTTGATAGATTTGATCTTATGCATGGCAACATAACGGGCGAATGGGACCTTTACTGCATCATAAATAGTAATTTTAACATACGGTTAAATCATATCTAAGAGAAAGCGCCTCGCCGCCTTGATCCTGAAGGTCGTATATGAGTTTAGATTCCTCGCCATACTTTCCAGCTAGAACTTCCTAATTCCTGTAAAACTCGAAACGTCTGAAGTTACCTTGAGCTCAAAAACAGGGGTGTCTATAGTAACCGCATCATGACGCTTGAAACACCGTATTATTGTACTAAAAACACCTTCAAGAATTGTCATTTGGAGGGGATCCCGATCTTTTGTTCCCTATTTCAATCAGAGGAATTTTAGGCGTTACCTTTGGAACTTTTAAATTGTACTTTACTTCACACTGTTTGATGGATGACTTGGCCATTCGCTCTGTGATTTTTTGCACCTAGCATTAAAATATAACTTCAATTTTAGGTACGAGAACCTGAAGAATAGACATTTTAACTGCACTACCAAGATAACCAATGTTTGTACGCATTACTGATTGTCTTACAAAAATAAACTAAACTTACTTTTGTCTCCTTTACGATATTTACATCACCCGTAGGTAATTCAGGCATGACATATGTAGCGCACCTAATAAATCGACCTCGCACTCAATTATAGGTTTGGTCTTCGCTATCGCATTGGAAATTTCTCAAAACATTTAATTTTCGATTATATGTATCTATCAAAGGATTTAGCCACTTGCTAAGGGAGGGAAGACCAAGTCACCAAATAATTACTGAATGGGCTTAAACGGATCTCAGTTTCAGTTTGGAAAGGACCGGAGGCTTAGTGGCCTGTGTTAGTCCTGCCAATGATGGTCTCTCAGTTTATCCAAATTCACTTTGGAAGAGTTGACGGATGAACCTTCAACTATATGCTGAGGTAATGAATTCCACTCGTTGATGATTCGAAGGGAAAGTCGATAGTCAGTTGACAAGTAATTTGTTCTGGGCTTGTAGACATTTTAAAGTATCCTCGTAAATTCTCTGTCTTCGAAAACGACAAAAATAAGGGCATATCAGGTGCAAATTTATCACTAAGCAATTTGAAAACTGTAATCAAGTCACCTCTAGTTCCTCGATGTGACAACCGAAATAGTTTTAGCTTGGCCAGTCGAGCATCAAACGGGAGCTTTGCTATTCCAACAATCAGCTTAGTTGCTGTTCGCCGAACCTTTTTCTAAAGCTCACCGTTTTTTAAGCAGGTTCTAGCCCCTTGCATGCAGTACTCAAGTTTAGGGCACGAACCACGTCAAAAATGTTTTAGCAGCGACATGACGGAAAGTCGTACGTATTGACCATGAGGTTTCAAAACATTTGGCGGCTATTGCACGGCAGTGCGCAGTAGTCTTTAAGGCTTGGCTAACGATGACCTTTAAGTCGCTGTGTGTCTGGACAACACGTAGCTCAGGGTTATTCATCGTGTATGTATCTGCACTGTGATGACCGATATGCATCACAATACACTTGGAAGTATTAATCGACAACTGCCAGGTTTGAGACCATTCAGATAATTTCTCAATGTCATTTTGAAGTTCTAAGCTAACACCCTTATCTCGTATCGCTCCCCATATCTTGACATCGTCAGCATATAGCAAGACCGATGATAATAGTAGATGAGGAATAACACCGGCACCAAAACTGTACCCTGGGGAGTTAACCCGTACTCATTGTTGGTGCCCAACTAGGAAGACTTTTATCCACATAAATAGATCGCCTCTAACCCTGACATTTGTTAACTTATATAACAGCCGGTTGCGCGGAACTTTGTCAAAAGCTTTGCTGAAGTCAATGTAAGTCTACAGGTAAATTTTGGTCCTTAGAGTGCACTAGCTTTCACAAGCCGCTAATAAGCTGGTGAGACAGGAATAATTCATTATAAAGCCATGCTGCTTTTCCGATAGGATTCGGTTTTCATCGGGATACTTAAACAGCTCCTTCCGAACAATCTTTTTTAGAACTGTAACAACCACTCTAGTTAGGCTAACGGATATATGGTTCTCAGGTTTATGTTTCGCACCGGTTTTGAAGACAAGACTTACCATGGCGTTCTTCCAGTCTTCTGGTAAACGACTCTGGGTTACGGATAAATTGAAGCACATACTTATAGAATTCTCAACGAAGATAATTAATTCCTTTAGTAACTTAAATTGCAGTTCATCGGGTCCCGTAGATTCACCTATGTCTAGCTTATTTAGCAGACCAAAGACATTGAGTTCTTTAATGGTCAGTGTGTGTGGGGGGACTTATGTGAACCGACGAGAAGGGCGTTTCTACGGTGTACATATTGCTAAAGTGATTTGAGAATGCTTGAGCTTCACCAAAGCCGTCTTCCACTAATGTTGAAGAATTACTGTCTCCCCATAATGCTGGAATGTTTCCCCTTCTTTCTGTCGTTTTGTTTATATCAAGATACAAACGTATAGGGCATTCTATGAACTCCCTACCAATTTTTTCGTACAGCCTTCTAGACTTATGGGGGGGGGGTTGAGGCACAAGTATTCCTAGCTTCTTGATATTGAGATTTTGTCTAATAAGAACCCAGTAACCTAGGTCTCTATCAAAATTTTCTCCCGTTACTGAAAAGAATGCGAACTTCCCTACTGAACCATGGTAGAGAGTTTCTCGGATCCCTTGATGTAGTCCAAGGGATGTGGGGTGCAGTAACTTTTAAGTTTAAATTCCGAAGTGCATCCCAAACTATTTCAGTTTGAGACTCTGGCTCTATTATCCGGTCAACTGACGATGCTGAGTGCATATTATCTTATGTATTTACTTACGAGAGGTTAGGTTTGGATTAAGTTGATGCATGCCGTTAGAATTGCATGATCACTTCTACAAGGGGTGCCACGTAATCAAGGTTCTCAACGTCATCCTTATAATGAATCAAATAAGATCTAGTAAGGATGACTCAGGGTGCGAGTCGTACCCAATCGCTTCGTTCGCATGTTGCACCAGAGCACATGTGATAACTGCATCAACTAGTTCCTGCTCGAAGAAATTATCTGACGATTCAGTTAGCAGGTTTTCCCAGTCTACCATGGGTGTATTAAATCGATCAGTAGCTCATGTCCTTGCGTTTTAATTGGCAGCAAACTAATTCGCACGTCCCACTCTCATGGGATAAACTGTAGATAGTGGCAAATGGAATAGCATTCCTAATGAATAGCGCTAATCCCCCTCCTTTACGCTTCTGGATTCTGTCGACTCTTACTAGCGTAAAACCCTCAAAATCAAGTTCCACACTATCTATAGGCTGCGTCTGACAAGTTTCTGTGACTACGATTACAATCTACGATTTTACTTCTAGTTCTGACTGCTTACAAAGCATGTTCTAAATTTTTTAAGTGTGGCTGCTCATCAACCGAATTTGTTGAAGCCGATTTCCTTTATATCGAACAACAAAACTGTCGCTTCGGGTTTAAATATGCGGATTTTGCAGACAAGCTTCGGGCATTTGTGTAACAGATCTGAATCTTATTTAAATGGCTTCGTGCTGCACCCAGAGTGGCTTCGGTATCATTCTCTGTGGAAGTCTGAATCTGAATCTTTCAGATTTCCACATGCACTCGTTCAGTTTTCATGCTCAAATGAATGTTTGAAATATGTATGCATTCCACATTTTGTTGACATTATTTGCCGACGGAAGATATGCGAAGTTAAATAGGTTCAATGGAATCGACGTCCAGTAATATGAGTCTAAGGATGCTCCTGGTATTCGGAGTTTGACAACGCCTTTACTTTTAACAACTTCGTGATCGACGTATACCAACCCAATCAAATCAAAAATCAGAGTTAAAGGGGTTCGACGACATATTCAGAAAGCTATTGATATATTGAAAAGCGTTTAGTCTAAGCCGGCCAGTAGTTGCAAGGGATGCATAGCACGGCGTATCCACCCATGGTCTGTGGGTGCATGACCGAGGAGCTTCAGCTTGATTGTGTCCAGTAAAATTGATGAGGTCGGCATCGATGTTGAAGACTTGCACAACTATTTATTTTGTGGATCTGTGGATCAGTTGAGACGTTCTTGGCTACGGTCAAATAAAAGTCTGGTATGTCCGACTGAAGTTGTTGTTCATATTTGAGTACATCTAATTATGAATAGATTGATTTGGAATCTTCACAGCGGTAAGTAATTTAGCAGTAAAACTTTCTCTTGAAATCGTTCAACAAGAATCTTGACCATGTCCATTTCACACAACAATAGCAGCGGAGTGTGCGCGGGTGAGCATATGCACTAGATCGATTCTCAATTTGTTATGGGATGCTCCTCTTGCTCTGATGATCAACACTGTATCATTTCTCTCATGATTAGTGATTTTATAGGACAAGTCAGTGTGATAATTAAAAGTACTCAAATTTATGTGCGAAGCGGGAATTCTCGAAGTAGTGCATTTTGCAGTTAACAAAACAAACGAACGTATTATATTTATAATTCAGAACCAGGCAGTCATTAAATACGAAAGAACCACTAGATCATACAAACATAACAGTTAACCCTCCCTCAGATCCATATGAGGAAGATCAGCAGTGACGTTTTGAATGGGCCACAGTATATAACTAACCAAACAAGTGTGATGGGAATTTGCATGCTTTACTAGGCCATCAATGCGGGCTCTGACACAACAATTATAGAACCCCACCTTTAGCACGTACTAAAATTCCTCTCCTATTCAGTCCTCCGTTATGCAATCAATTCTATGCCATCATCCTATTGTTTAAACTTAACAGCTCGTCATCGGTAAGTGGGTGGTTATCAGTCAGCCGCTACTGACGTTATCTTTAGTTCAGCTATGCTGAAGTTATTCCGGTCCTTCAAAGTCGACGTTATAAATCACGACGTACCCAGACGCGTGCTATCCACATCAATACAGGGTGGGCCAAGATATTTGTTGATTACAGCCAAAGTGAGAGTAAGATCAGTTGGACACAACATTGTACAGTAATTCATGTAGGTGTTTAGATTCATATATTTTATTGAAGATAAGGGAACATAAATTTCTCCAAAAAGTTGAGGGATCGCCTGCAGTGCATTTATTGTGTTTTATTGTGACTACCAGGCTCACCATGATCACTGAATGTAATGATTTGCATCTAGAAGAGGTCAACATTATATGTGGGGCATGTCGAAACAGCACAAATTTACAGTACTCAGATATGTTAGGCTTGCTAGGGAACAAAGGAAAATAGAGTTTTGGAATGATCATAATAAATTTACGGGTTAGAAGATGGTTCGGCTGACACCAACAGTAGAAGTTTAACTATCGCAAGACAGTTTAATTCTCCTTAGTTGGTTTACTATCACTAGTGAAATGCAGACTTCCACTCATCTCAAAAGTTATATTTCCAGTAAATCTCTATCTGACGGTCAACTTTCGTGCTGGTCAAGGCCCCTATTGTCACCCAAACTAACAGTTCGTCTCCAAGATGTTTACAAGAATCTTATTATGTGTCTACCATTTACTAAGATCAATCTTATTCAGATTTCATTTACAAGTCTTTCAAGATCATTATTGAAATGACTGTGGGCCTAAAGAGATGAAAGAACACCTGTAATCGGATAACTCAGTCACGATGAAGATTTATTTTCGTTTAGTTTATTACATATCAGTTTGAAGCAGGCACTTTTCTCAGTGCTCGCACGCCTATTCGTTACACAGGTCAATCCCTTATCATTTATTTGATGTTCTTGACCTGTATTAGGTCTGACACATGGTTTCACCCGCTTTAAGAACCTCGAATGAACATGCATCAAGGTAACAACGTTGTCACGCGCTGTACGTCTAGGAGGGTAGGCAACGCTAACATATGTTGGAAGTGGTGCCTGTCATTACTTGAACTATATAGACATCTTTATTATTAATAATCTGTCGGATCGTCTTGGATAATTTGTAACATTATACCTTCACAGTACTCACAATATTATTAAAGTCAATGCAATTACGTCTACTTTCTTCGATATTTTTATTGCAACTTGGAGAGAATTAATTAATTACGTGGACCTGTCATTATCCCTAACTTCGGTTAAGTCAGCTTCACTTATTCTTGTTTTACTACTTCACATAACTCATTTCTAGCAACGTACTTTAAATACCGCAAGGTTTGTTGTTATTTTTTGCAAGGGTTAAAATGTTTTAAAGATGGTAGTTTTATTACATTATAACTGATTTCAAGTTGTTCGGTGCCTCAAAGTTTTTAGGTGGTTTGTTCTTGTGAGAAAAAAAGTATTCATAATTCCAACCTCCTTACTTTATAGGGAATTTCGTCGTTTTCAGCAAATTTTAGGGAGTCTCGTCAACAGGTTTTGTGGAAATTTCAAAAAAAGTTATTTAAAGTACAAAACTTCCAATAGATTCAGGTTCTTCTATAAAACAGTGGAGAGTTTGGGTTGTTATCAATTTCCTCATAGTATATCGTCAAGATTTATTCAGATTTCGAAAATGTCCACTAGCTTTAGTTTGGTTTCGGGTTTTTACTTAAATTCTTGACTGTTTTAGAGAAGGCACTGAACGTTTTGGTGACTTTGGGGAAACCTTCATAACCGCTTATAGATTTGGAAAATACTGGTTTTTAAACAATTATCAAATTTTCCGAAAGCCGACATGTGCAGGGAAATTTCCAGATTTTAAGTCAGTGCATCCACACTTTACCAAAGTGACAGTGTCACTGAACCAAATGATATACAAATGGAAATGAATATAATTATACCCTTTTTAATGATAATTAATTGTCGAAAGATCACAAGGATCCTAACTTTTTAAAATTTAAGAGTATTTTTCCGAACAAACAATACTCTGAGATCAGAACTAGTAAGAATCGAAGATCCAATACACAACGAAAACAACATAATTGTGTTTATGAAATCAAATGTAGTGACTTTAATGCAGCGTATGTAAGTGAAACATCAAGGTAACTGAATGTGAAGGTGAAGGAACACAAACTGTGCTTAAAGTACATTCCTAAATCCTCAGATGATGTAAGAAAACATGAGAAAAAAAAATCGAAGATAGCATTACACTCGATGGAATCGGGTCATACAATTGATTTTAATGGCACAAGAATCCTTTATAAAGGCTTTAATTCTTACAATGAGAGACTGAAGGCCGAAACCCTACACATATGGGCAAATCTAAACGGTATTATCCCATGGGACGGTTATAATCAGTTGTCTTATCTGAGTATGGTAATTAATTAACTGGAACATTAAAATAACACAAAATTTCAATTACAAATAAATTTTTTCTCTTTGAATTCGTTCTTTATTCTTGTTTACTTATCTTTGTTTAATGCATGCTGTGACATTTTTTATTCATATCATTTAGAAAAATTATAGGTTTTCTTAAAATTCACCGACCAGAGACAATATATAATGAATGAAATTTCTTCTTACTTACGTATGCACACAATCTTTTATCTTAACATTTTTCGTTTTACACCACACGACTTGTACACTCTAATGCAAGTACCTATTTTAACATTGTTAACGTTGATTGGATGACCTACTCAATATACAGTGTACCGGAGAACCATGTACCTATTTATATTCGATAATTTTGATGTTTGATTATATTTCCTTCAAAAAGCTTGAGCCAAATCGCCAGGTGAAACATCGGATTCACTTCAAATTCATTTGCTGAGATGTTACAAATACATTCATCCTCTTTTATATCTCACATCAACTCAGCGCTTAAATACTGTGAAACTATTTGATCAAATTTAGACGAAAGCTATTATTCAAGGATAGTGAGTAAGATAATGCATTGACGTAAAACACGACATTCAAATATTTGAATTGATGATCAAGATATAAGCACATAGATACAAATGTTAGTGAAAATTCAGTATCGGTCATCTTATCTTAAGAATAGTGACCACCAATCACGTAAACGACTCAAGGAACTGCCACCTACCAGTTACCTATTCGGTAGTAATCCTTCTAAGTTTCGCGTTCTAATCCGACCGAACTTCTATTTTAGAACTTGTGGTTTAAATTTTATTTTAACAATTTTCATTTATCTGAAAACTAATTTTTCCATCTCAGTCAGTCAGTAACAATGTAGAACTTCGTACGTACGTACATCAGTTCGAGTCGCCACGCCACATTAACACAGAGATGCAGTTATTGATTCAAATCCCGTAGTGATAGAGGTAGTAAGAGTATAAGCAGTAATCGGAAAGATTAGGGTTTGAAGATATTATTCAGGGAGTATAATCCAGTGAAACAAATTCAGAAAGAGAAAAAAGGGACATGAAGAATTCAGAAGACTAGAATTTGGGAGAACACACAGAGTAGATGCACCTGTGCCATTGCAAACGATTTTGAGCCATGTCATTCAGGGTTTCTGACCATCGGTTGCTATCTTCTCGCCGACCCCAACCAGGTAGTCTACACTTACCAACATGGTTCAGTCCACTTGTCAGTGACTTCATGGGTTTGTGTCATGTATTGGTATGGTCACCCCTAGCTTTCTTCCAACCTACTCCTACACCATTGAACATCGCTCGTCGGGGCAGATGGTGGTCAGGCATACGTAACACATGTCCCAGCCATCTCAACTGATGAAGTTTCACTACTTCATCAATTGATTTACCATCCTTGCCTAGTACCCGTTACCTAACAACTGAGTTATTATTATTATTATTATTATTATTTGAACACAGATATTGGTACAAAGAGGCACCAAATACATATGCGCTACACAAATCTCATTTGATTTGTGAGAGGGCTGTAATACTGTCCGGGTGCCCAAACCAGAGCAGGTGGTTTTCTTAGGAGGCCACACCTCGAGCCTTCTGCCTAAAGGTTTGATCCACAAGGCAGTGGAGAATCGTAAGGAAATGCCGTCCCATGGTAGCCGGTGACCAACGATTGGTTCATACGCCATTTGTTCCCTCAGGATACTGTTTAAATGGCAACTAGTGCTGCAAGTTAGTATTTTAACGACCTATGTAACTTACAATGTATAGGATCAATAATATAGGTCAATTTAGTGATTATCTAAGCAATATTAGATTTGAGAGACTGGTTTTCTGCGCTCGTCGAGTATTTTGTAGTTACCTCCATTAATTGATTAAATGAAAAACATATTGTCACTAAAACGGTTTATTTTGAGTAATATACGCAACTCATGGTACTGATTTATCGTGATACAGTGGTACAGTAGTACTTACAGAATTCGATAACGTTGTTAATTCAAAAAAAAAACCAACGAGCCATTGTGCTCTCATACCTTCATCTATGTCCTACAAGTTTCATATCGGTAAGTATATGTATTATTACTGCATCTTTAAATGCACAATTCAACACATAGACTTTCGAAAAATTTGGAGATTCACAATAACTTTCCTAGATTCCCTTGAACCATTTACGCAGAAAACAGAAGATTCTTATCTCATATCGTTCGAGAACATTTGAGCCCTGGAAATCATTATGAACAGGGTGCTACTGTCAAGATGGAAATAGACGCTCATAACAGAGTAACGCTTTTTTTACGTGCATAACTTTGACCAGCATTAACTATGTAGTTGAATCTGATTTAAAAACATGAGGTACTGTCTTATTGATATATCTGATACTAATATCTCAATTAGGTTGGTTTTTAAATTTTTATTTAAATAAAAATATATTATATCATACACTAAATACCTAGTGTAAAGAACTAATGCCATTGAAAACTGCCGATTACCGACAGAAAAACTAAACAGCTAATCGATTTTATTGAAAAATTTCCATTATGGTAGCCAGTTCGTTGAGAAATTTAAGAAGTTTCCTGATAATTACATCAAATCTGAATGTAATCAGCATAGAGATTCAGAAGTGTCGTGTGTTACCGCTCAATATATTGGGGCTCAAGTTGTTAAATATGTCTCTAGTTGGTTAGCATTTCTAAGTAAACTGTCTTCAAATCTCTTTGTTCAGTATCATCACCAAAGTATACAGTCTGTTAATCTAAATTTTAGTTACGAATGGTTGCTAAATATTAATTTTTGTTATCGAAAAGTTATTATCCGAAAAAAAAAACAATAATCACTTCAAAACATTAAAATCATCGTTACAAAATTTATAAACCTGACTGGATAATCGACAAAAAACTGCGTAAAAATCAAACTTATCTATTCATGAGATGAATAGCACCGGACTTACATTTCTCTTTAGTATTCCCTAGCTAGTTTGAAATCACTTTTCAACTTATTCAACAAAACATTCCTAATTATCAACTCGTTTTATCACTTAACTTATTGTAAAGGAAAGTAGAGTCGAGAGAATAAACCTATTACCAGTTCGAAAAAATTATCCGTAATAAGAAATTTATAATTTGACTGATTGTCGCTGTTCGTATTATATTCTCGTTGATAACTGGTTTTAATTTCGGATTTTCTTCCTGATTCCAGTCAGTATTATTCACATAAACTCTACAAGAAACCTGAATTACTAATTTATATCCGAAGATAAACTTGGTTAATAACATGAGACGTAGAGAAACTAGTTTAATGTATGTTACCTGAGTAATCTTGAATCTCAGTTTAAAACTGTTTGGCTTTATTATTGAAAACGCTCATTTTGAACAGGTTACTTAGCTATGAAGCACGCTTTCATTACTGAGATTATTAAGTGGTGTTTCTTACTGTTAATTTCCAATCATTCTTTTTCGACTACTTTGTTATTATTCGTATCATTTTGTATTTAAAAACCTGTTTGATAAGTTCACAAAATGAATTTGTCATCAAGTTAAAAAAATACACAAAAAATGTTACTAAGGGATGATATTACAAGTTCTGTATCTTTACTATAGACTTGATTTGCTCAGTATGAACTGTGGTTTGAAACGACATTCTACTCAGGTTACGGAATAAAAATTTGAAAGAGTTATAATTGCTAGTCCTGGTAAAAATCATTCTATGAATCAATATTTCAGTGTAATAAAATGTTACACATATTACTAAGCTGTTTTAAGTAATATAATTCATTTCAGAAAATTATCTACCATTTCTTATTTATACCTTCAATACAAGTGACATTTCGGTAGATCATGTCATTTTCATATCATAAAACTACATATAAGCTTCATAAACTGTTTGATATTGCAGTTTTCTAAGAAAAATCGCTTATATTTATTCAAGTATGTAAACCCATTACCATGAATTCAATTGGTTAATTATTTAAATGATGAATAATATTAAAGTATTTTTGTATTAAATTTATTTGATGATTTTCAAGTCCATTTATATTTTGATGGAACAAACATTCGCAAAATATTCTGCCATAAACAAATCTTATTAAATGAAAATTTTTGTTTTCATCTAATGTTTAAAATGTTTATGAAAGAGAGAAACAGTTTGCTTTTGGTCTTTATATGATAATTTTACTATATGATTGTTTCTTCTTTGAATATATGTATCTTTATAGAAATGACAAAAGTGAAAAGTCTTTCTGTGGAACAAGATGAAAATAATCAGGATGTATTGGAATTTGAAGATAATCTTGAGAAGACGTCACGCGACTTAGTCACAGATATTTTAAATCGGGCTAGATCTACAATCGCACATGAATCGTCAGGTACAAAACAGATTATGTTGCCTTCACAAGATTTTGTATCATCGCTACCACAGTTATTGATAACAACTCCATCTTCATCTAAATATGTCAGTGAAAATGATATGAATACGGACAAATGTGCTGATGCGTTTGGCATTACATCAGTAAATCATAAGTCTGTCATAAATGAAGAGATTCAACCCTCAAATTTTCATGAACAACTAAGTATCCAACAGACACCATCTGAAAAAAAGGTTCCTAATCAGTGTCAAACAAAATTTGATTTCAAGTCAAATATTTTGAATGATTTCAGAGGTATTGGAGTTGGCTCAGCTACACCAGATACTCCACGTCAAAAAGACTATCAATGGAAATCAAATATAGATTTACCTCCAACAAATAATACTACTTTCACTCATTCATACAACTATCCTCAGAAACCTGTTTATTTAAGAGAAATGTGTCTGTCACCTTCAAGTCTTTCGTATGATTTAGTTAAAGATGATTTATTTACGTCATCTCGACCAACCAATTCTAATTGTATTGGCGAATTCGAAACATCATCTAGAATGCTAACATACAGACAAGACTCCCCAACAGTTATAAATACAGACGATATGGAACAGAAGTTGAAACCATTCAGTTCACCTCTACCAATCTATATTCCCTCAACAGCGTGTACACGTATTCTTAAAAATTCTGAAGTTCATAGATTTACAGGTGACTGTATTTCACATCCGAGAAGACTTAAACACAATGATTCTGAAGTTGGTAAATTATCGTACAGTGACAGTATATCTTCAGAATTAGAAAAACTAAGTATCGAGTATAAAAATGACAGTTTTATAACAAATAAAAAGCAAGCTAACAAACCGAATGTACCCCGTTTACAATTACCTTCAAGTCCAAAATTATCACATTCACCTAAAACTAATCAAATGAGGATTCGTCAATCTTCAGCAGCAAATAAATCAAACAGTTTGAAAATACCTAAATCTACAAGCTCATCATTGTGTTGGTGGGAACCATTTAATCGTCATGATGCTCAGATTATGGAAGTAGAAGGAATAAATAATTCACTATATAATGATAAATTTAACCTACCTGAACCTAATCCAGAAGTACTAAAACATTATTATTATTTATGTGCTCAACAGCCAGTGAAAGAAGCTTCTCTTATGAAAGCAATAAATGAAGCTGAAATTCAAGCAAAATATGATAAAATTGCACATTATGAATTTTTAAGACGAAAATCTTTACAACATCAACATAAGCGAACTAGATTTTTAAATTCACATCAATCTAGAAAGTTCGACATTGAATCGAAACATTTAAACAAAATAAATAATAACAACAATAATAGTACCAATCGATCAAATTTATGTAGACCTGAACATTTTACACATTTATTACAAAAGGAGAACAAACCGAAAAAATCTTTTCAATATTCAGATGAAGATGATTTATGTTCAACTATGAAAAAGTCAGAAAAACGACGATCAGTATTAAGTAGTACAATTCATAATGTAAGTTCATTTTTTCTACCGTTCCGTACTGATCTTTAATATAAAGCTGATCTTTCAAAGTGATTGATACATATCTGTGAACATAAGTTTTATACCTCTTGATAGTTAATAAGTAAGGTTATTTAAAAGCTTCAGAAAATTCATACTATTTCGGGCGATTTTAACTTTTATTGTTCAGAAGTTTATTTATAATATTTGTACCACATTATTACTTTCAAATTTCAGAAAAAGTCAACACACAAAATGTACTAATGTATTGTGTAACTCTACGGTAGCTACTACTAAATATACTTTAACCTGAACTGAATGCAGAGATTGAAGTTCTTTATTTTCATTGTCATGCTACTGATTATATCACTGCTTGATAGTTTGTTTGCTTCCTGATGTGTCATGCGATACTAAGTCATGATTCATTACTGAGCAAAAAATCTATGGACTATTTTTATATTGAAATGGTTGATTTCTACTATTCATTTGCTCTGTGTTGATTATTTGTACTTGTGTTAATGAACTATCGTTTAGCCTATATCAAGTGGCCCAGTATTATTATTTAGTTCCGTATCGACTGAGTGTACTATCTAGTGGTTAAATTATATTTATCCCACTGGTTTTACTACGTATCTGTTATCAAGTGTCACTAAATATTTTCATATTTGTTTCCGTTGTATCGCTTTCAGACAAGGTTTTGGCATTGAAAATATTACTTTCGGTATCCAATCAGTGAAAGTTAATTAGGACCATAATTTTTTAACGAACCAATCAGATTTAAAATAGCGCCTCTTGGAAATTTATTCAAAAGGCTAAATACCATCCTGACACTATAGCTGGTGTTAGCGCGTGATGAAATCCTATCTCTAATTCCTAACCCTATCACTAAACTCTAACACCTAATCTAGTAAATGACCGAAGTTTCGCAGAGTCACTTTATTATCGTTAATAGATCATCAATAAATTATGACCTCTCCGAAAGCTGATTTTAAGCGTAGATGATTATCGAACTTGTGAACTATTTAGTGATATTATTAAATAATTAGAAATTTTGCTTAGTTTCAAGTTCTTTCAAAATCTTTCTATATAATCCAAAGTAGATTAAAGCACGATAACAAAAACTTTCTATTTAAGGTGATAAGGTATTACAACTACCTATAATCTTTCTGTTACAAACGTATTTTGAACAAAAGTTACGAAAGATCGATACACCATTTAACAGCTTTTTAATCTTTACCCTTCCGTTTTTTGTGGTGAAATGGTAATATCCCCTAAAAACATTTATCGAACCACCAAGGTAAGTTCATTCAGATGAGTAGACATCAGGCCAGTATTTTTCTGCACAAAACTGTTAATAATGGAAACTGAGATAGACTTCTTATTAGAATCCCTCAATAACTGCCGATAAAACTCTGCATGATGTTGGAGATGAATAAACAAATATGTGCTCTTTGAGAACCCTCAAGAAAATTTAGAAAACAGTTTATTATGCTTTCTTCAACTTGACTGAAAAGTTAACGAGTTTACTACCAGTTATGGAATGTTTTCTAGAAGCTTCTAAAGTTCTAACGTTACATATACTCTTATTGGTGTCCTCTGGTCCTACACATAATCTACTTACTGAAGTGAAGTCACTTCTCGCCTTTTGTTTTTTGTTCGCGGAGTAGATAGTGACTAGGTAATCAATGTCTGATCGTTCCTATATAAGACTTATAACTTATATAAGCCCTACTTGACACCCGTATAATTGTTAGTAAACTCACCGCTTCTTATATTGCTACTAGGTTACTAACTATCATTTATGATTGTACAGTAGAAATAGTTTTTAATTAAATAAACTAATGTTCCAGTAAGTTGAATTGACAGAAGTACTTTTCCTTCAATGAAACTCTATCGATAACTTTTAAGTTTTTAAAAACAAAATTTTATATTCCCAAGTTGTTTCTAAACAATACGCAACTAACTCCAGTCAGGCTAATCCTGCAAATGAATATTCATGTTGTTTTCTATTGAGCACTACTTTCATTTGTCTTTTGTTTTGGTCTGTATATGAATAGAATCAGATAATTGTATTATGATATGAAGTCACATCAATATGTGATTTGACCGGAAACGTTAGTTCATTTAGTAAGGAAATGAGAGAAGAGGCATGTCAATCAGAAAGGGGATTGACCATGAACTGATTAAATAATGTAATGGACAGTTTATCATTCAGGTCCTTAAGCCATAGAACAACACTGTATTTAATCACTGATGTAATAATTGTTAACATTGTCGTGCTGATATTTGCACAGATTTTTAAACAAAGAAGGCTTTAGTATTTTTTTCATAAGAAGATTAAACAGTAATTTCTCTCTTACTTATCCCTTGAATATCAATAACACTGTACAGTATTCTGAAAATCATTTGATTGATTTTATGAATTACTACACTAATTAGCCAATGTAGCTGGAAAACGTTATAGAAATGAGGATTCTATATTTGTAAATGATTTATAGGAGTTAGCTTAATATTTAATTATGGAATATAAATAATTAAGCCATTTTGATCTTCATTATTGATAGTTTATGTCACAATCTAATCATCTCGTAATTTGTTAATTATTTGAAGTGAATTTGTATTTTGTTTATTATCTGTTATCCTATATTGTTTCCTATCAGTATTTTCTATCTACTTGATTGCTGTTTGTTGTGTAAAGTATTGAAAGTAGTTAGTAGGGTAAATGCAGTGAATCTTTTGGTGTAATTATGAATAAGTTCGTAGATAGACATCTAAACTACAGTAAATAACCAGCAAAGCATTATCTCATTAAGTATAAATTACTTACTATATTCACATTTTCTCCTTATATATACACATATCTTCTGGCACAGTGAAACTGTGGCATTCTAATTCAGATACATAAAGTACTATACACCACTGCATTTAACAAATATACAATATGGGAAATTTTTTCTAAGTTACGGTCAATTCAAACACTTTTTCTTTTCAAAATTTGAAATATTCCCATAATGTAAATTTAGAACAACATATATAAGCGAACAATATTGTTTTCGATTAGATCCTCATCAGGCTTTACTCTAATATACAGTAATATTTATATGCATATACGAAATTATTAAACCAATCAAGGTAGTTTATAAATCAATGATAACGATGAATAAAACGATTACATAATATGTGAAAAGTACAAATAGATAGTGTGATGACAGGTGTATTAGTTTTTCTAAGAATAATAAAGGCTCAAATCAATGTTACATAATCGGAAATAGGTCAATGATTAGAAAAATATAGATAGTAAGATAACATTTATAAAATTATTATAAGATGACGTAATGAGAAGTGTTCAGATAATTGAACCGTGAAAAAATAAAAATAAAAATAAAATAGTAGGAGGGGGTGAAGAAGAATTGATAAAACAAAGAGAAGGTTTGAAAATAAATAATAAATAAATTCATTTATTAAGGCCAAGGGAGAGATAAGGGTGTTACAAATTTCTTCTGAACACAAAGACTCGGCTTGTTGGCTCGAATTCCTATAGCTTCTGCTATGTGTAAGAGACGAGATCGAACACCATAGGGAAAATTAGTGGGAATACGATAAATAACTTTAAATGACTTATTTCTGTCCACTACATGACCACTATCGATTAAGTGTGAAAGAACTGAGCTGCGTATTGTCTTTACGTAACCTTTTCCTAACCACGATGGGAGGTGTTCACTAACTCTTTGGTTCAGTTGCCTTTTGAACATGTACATATGTATTCATTATTGTGAGGATTGTAATTTTCTTCTAAAAAGATTTCAATGAATTTGATATGATTTTATTCATTTCCTTATTTTGTTTACATATATTTTTGTTGAGACATTTTATACTGACAATGCCAAACTGTATTAGTCATATAGTATTGGCAAAAAGATCGTAACTACTGAAAATTGGTGATAAGTAGTATAAATTGGTTGAAAAAATATTTTCATATTAGGTTGAAATATTCTGCTAATTGGGAAAGTTGAGTTTTCCGTAATCTACTACATTTGAATGATACCAGGAACAATATACAATAAAATTATGTACATTTATAAGTGTTTTTCTCAGTTGAATAGGTTTATTGCTTTGTCACTACGTTCACAATTCTTTTTGGATCGATTTAAAGAATTAATTGTCAACGGTGATTTCTTAATTTTGTACGTCTTCTAAACATTTTGCACTTAGGTTTAGAAACCTCTCAGTGAAGTAAAATGTCTATTCCACTGTAGGTTAAATCTTAGGTTTGTATGTTACTGGTAAACACATAGAAATTAACCTTTTTTTAAAAAAATAATAAAATATTGATATATATTTTAGTGAAATACTTATCTCTCTGAATTTTGTAAACTATATGAATGTATAGACAGAAAAAATTTCTACACTCACTTACATGGTCTCTATAGTAGTTAACATCAGACTATAGGATAAACACTTGATTATATTTGAAACTCGTCAGTTGAATGTATCTACATTTCTTTTTTTAATATTTGGAATTAGACTTTAAACTAGTAACTGTTCTTTTATGGATCAGCACACCATTAGCAGCACTAAATGACGAATTGATCCTAAATTTTATTACTAAATACTTTTTCAAATTTTAATGTGTTTTAGTCATTCTTATAATCATTAATTCTATAGAAAATCGACTGATGAACTTAAAATGCATAGATTTTTAATATAGTAGTATTTGTTCAACTTTGACTTTATGGTGAATAGTATTCAACTCCCAACTACTGAGTAGAGAGTTCAAAATTTAGCTTTCTACTCCGGTTTGTATACTCGAATGGTATCACTGAAATATTCATACAATATACAGCTCAAAGATTGTTATACAAAGATATACTTGATTATTACTGATATGAATCAAGTTATATTTAGCAACTAATCTTATCTAAATGATGGATATATATATATATATATATATATATATATATATATATATATATATATATATATATATATATATATATGCCAGTTGGCGATTA